ATGTGGAATACTTGTAGATATGTATATTCTATATATATATTTAGTTAATAAACAGGCTTCTTGAAAGAGAGTATCTTTAAAGAAACTGAATGATGAAATCACATAATGCAGGTATGTGGTGGTTTTTTAAGGTCAGTATTTTGTCTCTAAGTATTGTCTCATGACAGTATTATGGCTAAGAAGTTTAACGGGCAAATTGATGTTTGTGAATTTGGTAGTCTGGAAAATTTTGCATAGGGCAGATGACATAGTCACTTATTTATAACTTGGGATGGGTGTGTGTAAGATGCAAACAAGGTGATAAAACCCCCAAACCTCCAACCCCATTAAAATGGGGCTGAGAGCAAACTCTCATTGTAAGAGATGCTTTTCAAGTCTGTGAGGTGTGACAAGGTGATTATGTTGTTAGGAGATGTACTGATAGCTGCTGAGATAACATAAAACTACTGTAACTTGTCTGAAGGACAAGGACTAAAACAGATAGGAGTACACTCAGGGGTGAGTGAAGAAGTAGTTCTTGGTACAAGGTATAAACTGCAGATCATATCAAAGTATTCTAAGAAATATTTATTATGGCCATAGAGTGGGAAAATTAATCGTTTTTGATTTTGACAAACCCATTGGTGTTCCCAGGGGAGAACATCTCTTTCAGTAAGTTCTGTTAATAATCTTCTGAAGGAAATCTCTTTATGGGTTTCAGCAGCACTTAAGAGGAAAATCACTTTATTAGTAGTATGCTTTACTATTAAATTACTGGCTAGTGAGGAATTCTGTGATACTAAAGATTCCCTAATTGACAATATGTATGCTCCAGCTTATGGTGATGATGGGTGTTTTCTACCTCTCAAAGCCTTGCTGGAGTTATTTGGGGTGGGAGATTAAGATCTGTACAGAGCTGGATTCACTCAGTGATTCCTAAACCCTATTATTTCATAGGGTGGCATTTATGTGTAAGGTAAATTCTGTTTCCTGTGCTCCCTGTGAATCTCTCTGCACAAAGCATGGGTGCTTGCAGTTTACATTAGGAGGATTCAAATTCCCCCATGCTAAATACTGAACAGAACAATTTTTGTCTTCAGAGGTTTAGTGCTTTTGTCTTCCCTCTGTCCCTTTTATGCCTTCTGTGCTAAAAGAAAATCACTACATGTGTGAATGTAGTGGTATCAACTCAAAAAAAGTAATTGGCTTCTTGTGGAACTTCTCTTCCTTGCTCCACTGCTTACAAGTGACACGATGTGTGGCCATTTTTTGTCTGTTTCTCATCTCCCTTTTGGAGATCTTAACCCTGCTTTGCACCACTTTTATAGACCCAAACCCACATGGTTTTGATTTGGCAGAGAATGGCAGATTGCTAACAGAAAGGATGTGATGCTTGTTTTGGCATTTTGCTTGGTGTTTTTCATCTACATCTCCTGTTGTGTCCATATTGAGCTTGGTTATAAACTAGAAACTATGCTCTGTGTTTTTTGGGGCTGATAACAAATCTCATGAGGTTTGGGAATCTCATGAGGTTTAGTAAGGTCAAGTGCAAGGTGCTGCAGGAGTCCAGAAGGGGCCACCCAGCTGATCAGAGGGATGGAGTACTGCTCCTGTGGGCAAAGGCTGACAGAACTGGGTTTGTCCAGCCTGGAGAAGAGAAGGCTTTGGGGATGCAGCCTTCCAGTACCTGAAGGGAGCCTACAACAAACATTGGCAGGGACATTTTAAAAGAGCAATGTAGTGACAGGACAAGGGGGAATGGCTTCAAAATGAATGACAGTAGGTTTAGACTACATATTACAAAAAAATTGCTTGTTCTGAGGGTGGTGAGGCCCTGGCACAGGTTGCCCAGAGAAGCCCAGCATGCCCCATCCCTGGAAGTGTTCAAGGCCAGGTTGGATGGGGCTGTGAGCAACCTCGTCTGGGGGAGGGTGTCCCTGCTCAAGGCAGGGGACTTGGAACTAGGTGAGCTTTAAGGTTCCTTCCAATGTAGGCCATTCCATATTCCTTGAAATGGAGCTGCCCTGATGGCACTTCCATTCTCCTCTTATATGATACAGATGAAGTAGACTTTTGGATATTTTTTCATTCATCCTCTTACTCCAAACCATGAATAAATCTGGGAGAAAATTAAGGCTTGTAGATCCAATTCAATTTACATGAGACCTCTTTTACTGCCAGTATGAAAGAGCTGAATTGTGTAAGTATCTGTATCAGATACTCCTTTTCATTATTAAACTGGTAAAAAAATGACTAATGAATATCACCACTGGTAAACTACAATGGAAAATTGAGTAGGAATCTTCATCTCTAAGTTACCTGGTTTTCAGTTGCTCCTATCTACAAAACAAATGTTCATCTCCCACACCAGCAAATCCTCTTATATCAGGTCCTATGCTAATAGTTTAGATATAATTTAGGTTGAGGTCAGCCATTTTCATGTTATGCAAAACATAAAGTAAAAGGCTTTGTGTCTTCTTGGATTACATGTAAATCAGCTGATTCTGAAACACCCAAGTATCAGTTGCTTCATGGCTCTAATTTCGAATGGAAAACCAGAGTAAAGAAGAGTCAACTACACTCACAGCTTCAGAATATACTAAATTACTCAATTTTCTGCATATCTAGAGATTTTGCTTTCAGTTTTTCCTTCTTCCTTGACCCTCTTCCAATGAAAAGCTGAAACCAAGGCAGTAGTAAGAGGTGGTTTTGAACACCAACACCTTTCCTAAAACATAATCTTTCATTAAAAGGTGCTGTGGTTGCAAAACAGTCTTGAAAACATGAGCTAAGTGTAACCTGGACAGAGATGTCTGCTTAAGCTTTCACAGAGTCTGAAATAATGGCTCGGAGAGATGTGAGCCTCATCTCAACAGGGTGTTCTCTCATATGCCTTCTATTTTAAACTTGAACTTTCTCTACTCTTCCTGCTCTTCCAGGCAGGCGAGGTTTAGTCACTGCATGCAGTCAATTTACTCCAGTGACAAGGCAGGTATTTACTTTGGGAAAGAAACCCTACCCATTTTTTCTCCAATTACAGTAAAATGAAATCTAAGGGACCCAATGGTCCTATCTGCCATGACAGACCCTAGTCCAAGAGTGGCTGGAATTGCGCGGCAGATCAGCTTGACAGGCCGCCAGATTACTCTTCTGTCTGCAAAAGAGGCAAGCATCAGCAGCTTAAGAGAAGAGGGAAATAAATGCACACTAGACTTATAAAATATTTATTGTATTTCAAAATACAGATTTACTGAAACCCTGGGTTTTTTGGGGGGGGGGATGTTGGGGGTTTTTTTTGGTTTTTTTGTGCTTTCTTGTACACCTCAGATTAAAATTTTTCAAAATGTCTTAGTATTTGGATAATCATCTGATCCAAATTCAATCTTGTTAAAGTATTAGTCATTTTTTTGCAGGAGAGATTTTCAAATTCTGTTTGCTTTACAGTAGGGGAGGGGTCTGTGGGGAGAGATGGAGGGCAGAGGAGAGGAAGGCAGAAAGACAGAGGTACAGACATGACTGTGGTTGTGCCCCATACCCTTCCCCTTCTCTTGAACCCAGCTTTACCAGGTGCTGCTGCTTTTGGCTCTGTAACATCCCTGGGTGCTGCATGCCTTGCTCTTCCCATCCCCTTGCTAGAGCAGACATGGGCATTGCTCCCTTCTCTCCTGGCTCTTTAATCCACACTGATCTCACCAGAGAAGTTCAATTTAATAGTGGGTAAATTAACACTGCCTGCTATGAGGGCCTCTCATGGTATACAAAAATTCACATTTAACTTTTTTTTTGTAAAAAAACCCCTAATCTACATGAAGTGCATGGTTATATGTTAAGGATACAAAGCCCAAAGCAATTTAATTTACTTCAGTGGGAGTTGCAAATACTGCCTGCTAAAACATAGCCAAAAATTACCACAGAACAAGGACTGGGAAAGTAAGTACTTGAAACCCAAGAAAATCCCCAAGCTAAGGTTACTGCTGCAACATTCAGTTCTTTTTGTTGTACATCTATGTGGTTTATTATTAGTTAATCTATGTCCTGTGAGGTGTGTAGGATGTGCAATGAAGCCAAAACAATATTGGTTTGGAGAAGTTACTATTTGTAATTTCCTGACTTTTGAATATTTGATTTTTCAGTCCCAGTAATGCACTAATGCTGTTTTATGTGTTTAATATATAATTGGCTTGAATTTTTTCATCTTTTCAACTGTTGATACGATGATTAGTTTCTGGAGGAAGAGTGAAAAGAATGACGTTTTTTCTTTGGCCCAGTACCACAGAATCTATTTTATGCACTTTTTCATTGCAGTGTTACTATGTTGGTGAGGGAAACTTGGTGTAGGTGGGAATTTGGCCTCTCAGATGAATGAGACTTGGAAGCCTCTCAAGGACGGTGTTATTTTTATTTCCTTTCCAAACTCGAGGGAAGCACTCGAACTGAAAGCTTTTCATGTGTGTTTACAGGACGGTGGCTTCGCTGCAGCCGTCCCACGCTGCACCCGCAGCTCTTCAGTTTGGGATAGTGTTTGTTTAGCACTCGATAAAAACAAAAGCTAAGCAGATTACCGCAGGTTAAAGTAACATTTATGACCTTTAGTACAAAAAGCTCCACTTTGCTGCAGTGCATACAGAACGTGAAAGGGCTTTACGATGTGTCAGTGCACACAGCAGCCGGACCATTGCTCCGAGCCGCGGTGGCAGCGGGTGAAGGCGCCCGTGACGGTCCCTGCCCTGCCCTGCCCACCCGCACCTGCCGCGGAGGGCAAGGGCCGCCCCCAGGTGACACCAGCCCGCGGCTCCCCGGGCCGCCGCCGAGCTTCCTGGTTCCCAGAAGGTGCCGGAGCGGCTGCAACAGGAACTGAGAGACGGGGGAGGAGGCGGTGCCGCCGCTCCGCCGCAGTCGCGGCCCGAGCCGGGGGAGCGGAGCGGAGCAGCCATGGGCCGCCGCCCGCCGCGGCGCTGAGCCGCCCCCGCCGCCCCGCGGCCGGCGCTGCCCCTTCGCCCCTGCCGGGCGGGGCGCTTGTCCCTGGGGCGCCGGGGCCGCCGCCGGGGGCCCGCGATGTGACCATGGACAGCAGGTTCAAGTGAGTGCTGTGTGCGCGGGGGCCGCGGCGGGGCCGAGGGGCGCGGCGGGCCGAGCCGAGCCCCCGGCGGCGGGCAGGCGGCGAGCAGGCCCCGCGGCAGCCCCGGTCCGCACGATCCTGCCGTGCGGCGGGCGGGGACGGCAGGAGGGGGAGCCCACCCGGCGGGAGCGTGCGAGGGGCCGGGCGCGTCCGCCGCGGCCGCTGAGTGACAGCGGGAAGGGCGGGCGGGAGCGGCGGGGCCGGAGCCGGGGCGAGGCGGGACCCGCGGGGCGGGGGGAGCGGCGGCGCCCCCCGACCCGGCCCGTGGCGACGGGAGGAGGAGGAGGAGAAGAAGAAGAAGAAAGAGGAGGAGGAGGAGGAGGAGGAGGTGGTGGCGGCGGCGGCCGCAGCCCCGCCGGCCGCTCCCCCGCCCCACGCCGCCTCCCGGCCCCGCGGCGGCCCCGGCATCGCCCGTCCGTAGCGGGCAGGGGGACGCGCTCGGCAGCCGCCGGCCCGGCCGGGCAGAGGCCACGGCTGTGCCCGGTGAACGGGCCCGTGCGGGGCTGGCAGCGCGGTGCCAGGGCTGCCGGGCCCAGCAGAGCTGCCCGCAGTGCCCCTGCCCGCCGCGGGCCGGGGCTGTCACAGGCATCCCTTTCGGAGATCACGGAATTGTCAGGGTTGGCAGGCAGCTCTGCAGATCATCCCGTCCACTCGCCTTGCCAAGGCAGGGTCAGGTAGAGCAGGAACACTTTCAAGTGGGTTTGGAACGTCTCCAGGAGAGGAGACTCCACGACCTTCCTTGGGCAGCCTGTTCAGTGCTCTGCCACCCTCAGGGTAAAGTTCTTCCTCACGTTCAGGTGAAACTCCTTGTGTTCTCGCTTATGGCCACGGTGGTTGCAGATCACCGTTCTGCCATTGCGGCACGGCAGGTGCAGGAGAGGTTTTTTGGGTGTTTAGGAGCACTGCCGCCCGGGCTGCCCTGCGGCTCCGGTGACTTTGAAAGTGACAAGATGTTACACACGGGTTTCGGCGCCTGACAAGCAGCTCCGTATCCGTACGTGCTGAGCAGGCTGGCACCGCCGAGCTGGCAGGGAAACCAGAGATGAGAGACGGGCTCACGATTCTCAGATTAGTTTGACACATTTTTGACACTTCTGAGCGTAGTGGGATGTGAAGAGTAAACTTAGAAGCATTTTCCTGCGAAAGCAGTTATAGAGTACTACAGAGAAAGACAGAAGGCAGTATTACTTCAAAGAGCTTTTTTCATGAGTGAAATTCAGCTAGGAGTTAGAAGCACTCATTTGGTGACGGTAACACAAACTGATTCACATTAAAACCCCAACCTGTGAGGATAAACCCAAGGCCTAAGCTAGAGCAATGTCATGGGGAGGTGTCATTTCTTTTAAATGAAGGGTTTTCGTGGTTCAGTTTTCTAGGTGACTCAACCAAGCACAGCCTTACCAGTTTCATTCTGAACCTGCTCGCCAACCAGAGGAGCAATGGACAGTTTTGCCAGAGTAAATCTCTAATGTGCTGGATTTAGGCTGTTGTATCTCCTACAGACAGGATCAGTAGATACAGGATTTCCCCAACAAAATGCTTTAAAATGAAAGGAAGGAGTGTGATATGGGCAAGTTATGTCTTCATAATCTGAATTAGACTATAATTGCATATCTCAATTGATGATGGTGCTGAGGTCAGTGAAAGCATGTACTGAATCAATTAATTTGTGACAGCTGAGTTTTTCCCTAGCTTAGCCTTTGGATTTCATTCAAAATTTTATTTTAAGAAACAACATGTTAATTTCCTGCATGCTTTATGTGAAGCATTCTAGAAACCTGGAACCAAGTCTTGTTTTTTTTCTTTCCTATGCTGAATCTCCAGCTGACTTCAGTGGGAGTGTTACACAAGACAGGAGTTCAAGTGTGTGCCTTTTATGTGGTTAAACAGATAATTGATATGGGTGCGGTTATGCCACTTGTTTTTAATATAAATAGCAGTGTGCTTGGTAGGAGAGAGGACTGGTAATGGCATTTCGACCTGTTTCAATGAATATGTAGTTTGGGATTAGGTTGGGTGTTAATTGCTGTTGGCACATGCAGTTTGTTATTACATTCAGGTGGAAGAGGCGCCGGCCGTCACCCGCAGCTGCCCTGGATGGCTACTGCAGATAGGGCTGGCTGCCTCGGGCTTGTGTCATCCCTTAGCTCGGGCCTGTGTCCATCCCTTAGCTCGGGCCTGTGCCCATCCCTAGGCAGTGCACTCGTGTTGGCTCTCGCAGTGAATCACGCCTGAGCTTCAGCCTCTAAAGTCCCAGCTGGCGATCAATAGCTGGTGAAAGAGGAAGCCAAACGATTCTTGGCCTTGGGGTGGTAATCAGATGCATTGAAAGGAGAGTGGCTAAACATAGGGAATTAAAATGGAAGTCTAATGATGGGCTGTTGCTATTTAGTAGAAATAAGATGTAGCTGTAAAAAAGGCTGCCCGGGACTCCATTAATGTTGCAGATTGACTGATTGATAAGGAGCTTAGTAGCTCTTTTTTCTCAACTGTGAGGTGGGATATGGTGGAGTGACTTAAAAGCTATTTGATATATGAGGCAGTGACAATATCACGTAAATAAATCACACAGTTTAGCATATTTATCTTTCTTACTCCTTTCTTAAGGCTGCGAGACTTTTTGGTTCTTCCTTAGAACTAATTTGAGTACAAGTTTTGTTTTAATGGTATTTTCATTCAATTTATTATTCTATTAAAAAATAGAAGGGATATAACAGTAGAAATAAGATCTGAAATATGTATATGATAATTGGTTGTGTTTGTTTCTTCCAGGGAAAATCCAGAACGTACCTTTGATTTGGTACTGAAAGTAAAATGCCAAGCTTCAGAAAATGAAGGTAATATACTGTGCCTATGATATTTATATAGACAAATGAGAGCTGGAAAAAAATACTTGGCATCCTAATCTAGTGTTATTTTATACTTTGAATTGTTTTTGGACTGAGATTGTGTTAGAATGTGCCTATGATTATTTTATTGCTTTTAAAAATCTATTACTTTGTAGTAGTTGTGGGGTTTCTTATGTTTTCATTTTATCTGTTGTAAAAATATTTTTGTTCTGCATGATATATTTGCAAAACTTGGACTTGAAATGTTTTTTCTACTCTTAAAATGTTGGTTTTGTCGAAGATTTCATTTTAGAAGAATAGTTGACTTCTGTCTATCAGGGGAATGTTAATTTTGATCAGTGTGATAGAGAGAAAGCAAGTTATTTTCTGAAAAACAATAGGAAGATAGCTTCTTTGTAGCTCACGTTTGGCAGCTGCCTTGGTCTGCCACACCATTCAGACAGCAATGAGAGCTGCCTTGAGCTTGTATCAGCCGTCACTTTCACGTCTCTATAAGCACAAGGTAAAAGAGATGTAGTGGTGCAGGAGTTGTCTGAGAGAGGCTTTTTTTTTCCTCTTGGGTAAAAAGAAGATGGGCTTTCCAGTACTGAAATTAAATTAATTTCCAGTACTGAAATTAAAGTGACCTCTTGAAAGTCCGCTGGGGGAACTCGGTTCATGTTCTCGTCCGAGGTTGTTGGCCTTACAAAAGCAAAGGGAGAGGAGGAGTCTGGTTGGGGTTGTATTGTGGTCATGTTAGTCTGTGACAGCTGTGTCTTAATCAAAACTGTAAAAACAATAAACTACATCTTAAAATAGACTATATTTCTTATCCTACTGTGCTAATGGATGCTGTTTCCAGAGTTTACTACTTTAACAAGTAAGAAGCCTATAGACGTTTATAGCCCCAAATTATTACTTTTTTTTTAAATATATATATTTCAGGCAGCATTTCTATTAGTGTTAGTTGTAGGACCATGCCTAATGTGTTTGGGGGAAAAAACTATTTTTGTTGAAGCTAAACAATTGTAGTTCTTCAGGTCTTTTAATTATTTTTGTGACCAGCCAGCATCCTTCAGTTTATTGCCTGCTTTTAATTTGCTGTTGTTATGGTCATAGTTTGGCAAATCAGGTGGGCTTTCCTAACTCTGATCATTGTTGTGACTTATATCACATGGCATCCTGCCTTCTTTTCTCTCCCTTTTGTGGTTTTTGCCTTAGAGATTTCATAGATGATGTCTGGGAACCCTGCTTAGCTACTTGACTTTGGATCTGTTCTTCCTTGCACTGTTCTTTTAGTCTCTGCCTCTACTCAAATAACCCTTCCTGGGGGCCTGTCCATGTCTTGGCTTAGGCCTAGCTTTAGGCTGCAGATTTTATTCCCTTTATTCCTTTCCATCCTGAGATCTAGACTGTTGGTAATCCTTTTAGGTCTTCATCTTGAAATCTTGAAAAATGTGGGCTTTTTTTCTTCTGTGATCAGAACATGGATCTATATCCTTTTAATTCCTTTTATCTCCTGTTTGACTTCTCATTTTTCTTGTGCATCTTTTTGCCTCTGCTGCTGTAAGAAACCACTTCTCATTGCGTGCAGCTCTGGCCACTGACCACTGGCACCTGAATTTTGGTCATAGGCACTTCCCTTGCCTCTGTTGGTGGGCAGTTTTGCTGTTTATTGCTTGTCCTCTGTGGAGAAGAGGATCTTTAAGAAATCTGTGTGTCTCCGTGTGCTGTGACACGAGTTAATGTAGAGACTTTGTTTGTGACTATATTGTGGTTTCATTCTCTGCTATTCCCCTTTTTGTCACAGTTGCTTCTACGCTGTGTGGGCTCAGTTGCTCTTGGTTTGTGGGGTGGCCAAAGACAGGAAGGAGGTTTGGTACCAGTAATTTTTTTGAGTCTGCAGTGTGTAACTGATGAGGGGCTGAGGGGCCTTTAGCTGGCCTGGAGCTAATGTTGATTCTTGCATGCATCCACAGATCAGAACAAAAGTACAGTTTCCTTTTGCCAATCTAACAGTGCTGGCTGAATATTCCCGTTACCATCCTGTTGTACTTGGTGACCCATCTGGGATTTGCTTTAATGTCTTTCATATCATATCTAATTCAGATAACAAACTCACTCCAGTGAGGGCTTGACATCATATTTACATATGGTAATATGAGCACAGTGATATATCAAATTAATATATCTGAGTGTTAAAGTTATCTAAAGGAAATTCGCAAGGGACAAAAGTGTATTGTCTTCACTGCCACTTTAGAAATGGAGCACAGGGCTTGTCATGCAAAACAGGGAGCTTTCAAGGTTGGCTTATTATAAGGCCTAACAAATTTGACAGTTACCCTGTATTGTAGGTCTTGCCTTTAAATAGATTTTCATGCTAGGATAATCTTTTGAATATATCATACTTGAAAACGTGATCCATTCACCTGGTTCTTTGCTCATGCCTCTTTCTTTCTTATGAAAGAGATTTGTGTTTAAATAGGGGCTTTCTCCCTCGCATCCCATCTGCTCCTTGTACTTGATCCTGAAGCTATGTCAGGACAGAATTTGTGACATCACTGTCACCAGTGTTGCCGTGGAAATATCACAGCCACAAAATTATGATCTCCCTGCATGAGTGAGCAGCAGGAGAAGCTGACTTAGGAGAGAGGAAGACCTTAATGTGACCTGTGTATCTCGAAGCTTTTACTTTTCAGGCTTTGCTAAAGTCTGCCTTCTTCTGCATTTTAATTTCCCTGTGCTAATGTGTAACTGTTCTAACAAATCAAAATTGAGGTGGCCTTACTGCATGTGGAGTTCTGAGAAGATGTTTTTATGAGGATGCTAAATGCTTGCAGCAATGTTACATGATAAAGAATTTTGCTGTTAAAATTGTTTAACACTTTTGGAAAAGTATTTTTTCATAACTTGTTAAATACAACATAGCTCTCAAGGAATGTCAGTTTTTCAGATGTTACATTGTCCTAGGCCTGTTCCAACTGGAACTGGATCATGCATACAATGAAATGCAGCAGCATATAATTTCTTATATGTCTTAAGAAATTTGTTCTTCAATTATTTCACTAATTATTTTCAACATAGGTGTTTACACTGAGTAGAAACCAAAGAGGTTTCACGTAGGTTAATATGAATCACTTCATGTTTGGTGGGTAGCTCTTGGATTGGTTACAGGCTCAGTTGTGCTAGCACGTATTTATTTATAGCTGGATTAAAATTTTGTTTCCCACTGGATACATGGTTTTTGGATTGTTTGTGATTTAAGAGTAGCTTGGGTACTTGAATATTTGTTACTCTGTTTTAAACTACAGTAGCATTGCTAGAACAGTGATCTTCCAACAGGCAGGAGAGAAAAAAAAAGATACCCTGTAGTTAAATATTCTCATAATTCCCTCACCAGTTTAGGATCTATTACTTACTGTACTTTGGAGTAAATCTCCAAAGAGGAGACAAAACCCTTAACACCAGCATCAGATTGTAGCCCAGATCATAACTTTGAGTCCTTGGCAGTGCTGAGGGTAGTAAATATAAATTAGTGACTAGCTGATGTGACAGCATTTACTTACACGAATTCATAACCCATTTCTTGCAAAACTTTGAGATGAATTAGCTTCTGTTCAGCAGAGTTTGCTAAGTGACTGGGACATAAGTGCTAAGCTATTCTAACAGCCTGGTATTTGTTAATTGTGAATTTGGCTTGCAGTATGAGTAGCACCTTACAGAAAAAAGTTTTACACTGCCTTCCAGGCAGTTGCATATTTTTGTAATTCTTTTCTGTGTTATTCCTTAATGAGCAGTGAACAAGAAATAGCAAAAATGTGTGCTCAATTTAATATCAGCAGCAGGCCTTCTGTATTAAATTTTCACTTACAGACCCAGAGGGCAAGTTGATAACAAATATTATCAAAACTGCTGTGTTATTTTAAGGACAAGAATTGCTCTTTTGCTTTAGGGTGAAAAGTTTTTTGCACCTTAGGCTGAATCACCCTTACTGGGTATCAGGAGTAAAGCAGTGGTACAGTTGTCCTAAGTGCACAGTCTTACATAAGTCTATTGCTCAACAGCTGCACCTACAGCAACTTTACTCTTCTCCTGGCACTCTTTTGTCCCTTGAGAGTTGCACTGCAACTGGCACTGGAAGATGGGCTGGAGCCCAGGAATTGTCTGAGCAAAGCTGTCTGCAGCTTCGTTTTTGCCATCCACATCCTTCCATCATGAAAAGTAAATTGAATTTCTGTAAGGTTAATGTTTCAGAGCTTTTCCACAGGACATATCCAAATTAATAGTGCCGTTGGAATCTTTGAGAGGAGTGTGTATTTGTGTATTGTATCTAGGAGGACACAAGCATGTCCAGTTGTGCATACACAGCTCTAAGTCTGAGCTGTGGATTTGAGTTAAATGGGCAGAAATGAAGTTTGCAATTTAACTCAGTCTATAAATTCTATATCCTGTGCATTGATTCTGTTAAAACTGGGCTGCAGATGCAAAAGGCAGTGCAGATACAGCAGCCAGCAGTAGAAAAGCAACGTGCAACAGCTTCCGTGAGCATAAAGACTTCAGCAGTTCTGTCCACAGTTTCCCAAGAAGACGATTCAGATTGGTTTCAGTGTGGTTAAGAGAGTGCTGTTTGCTGCACCTTCATTTTCTTTGATTACAGCACATAAAAAAAGCAACAAAAAGGCTCCTCGGAGGCTGCAGGTAAATCCGGAGAAGTTAACCACTGAATTGTGGTTTGGGTCTCAAGCAGTCCTGACTGTTAAAGTTTTACTTGAAAACCCTTTTAAAGTACCAGTTCATTTTCTGTCCAATCTAAGAATAATTACCAGAACACCCTTGAAATTTGGTTGCTTTGTCTCTATTTCTTTTTTAAATGCTGAGAAGTCTTATATAGCACTAGGGCTAGATAATGTGATTTTCAGAGAAGGTGTTAAATAGGTTGTGTTGAATTGCAGGAGTAATTCCTGTAGTTTATCTTGCCTCTGCCAGAATGATAATAAATCTTAGTGATG